CCCGGTCCCCGCCGGCCGCACCGAGCGGGGCCCGGAGGGGTCGTTCCCGCTGCCGCAGACGACAGCGAAGCGGGACGGGTCCGCCGCTCCGAGGCAGGGTACGGCCGTCACCGCAACAGGGCAGGGGATGAAGGGTTTATAGATTGAGAGAGACAGGTGGGTGCGGTTTACAAAGGCAGGATTGTAGTTGTTTATTTTAAGCATTTTTCCGTAAGGACATAATGAATAGTTCATAGCTGAAGTTTACATGCATCACCTCGCTGATAAACACTACATGGCATCTTCTGCTGGTAGCTAGACCCATGTTTAGAGTCGGCACGGAAGCGCCTTTCAGCTGCCTGAAGAGGGCACGTTTAGTGTCCTTAGTCAATTTACATTCTTAAACGTTTCATAGTTCGTTACATCCTAACAAGGAGGGCAAAATGGTAATTTCAAGATTGCACAACATATCCACCATTGACTTCAGGAATTGTTTAGATGCGCTATAGAAATATTCTCACTTTTTGCTTTCAAAAACAGGTTGAAGAACTGTCATCGCTGTGGGAGATTTTTGAAAACTCTTGTTCCAAGAATTAGAAACTTATCACCGGGACTTGGCCCTACGCTTACTTTCACAGCAACAACAGTTTCACCCACAGGGGTTCATACTTCCAGTAACAATTCCCAACAAATCAAGGTACGTCCTTGCTGGAGAAAAAGAACCCTTGCTTTGCATTCCTGCTCCCCTTACTCTTCTGCTGTGTCTGAACATCCCCTCCGGTAACTTCAGCTGACAGACCTTCTTCACACCTCGTTGTCACCTGTCTGTAACATTCCCCTTCGAGGTAGCAAGGTGAAACAGTTTGCACATCCACAGGGCTGATCCTACTGAGAGTCAGAACTCGTGAAAAGCACCTGCATTACCTGGCAACGCAAAGATTTTGCTAAGCAAGTCAAATCAGCGTTTCCTTAAACGCGATGACCTACCAAGCACTTCATCCTGCCTCTTCCCCGGTCCCTCTCCCACCCCAGCGAAGCTGAGGGCATTGCTGCACCAACGCAGCTCCCTCGCCTAGCTCCAGCCCAGCTGCAGGCAGGGAACTTCTTGTCTTGGACAGCACGGCAAGCAGGCCCTACCGCTTTGGTGATGGTTCGGTCACGCAGCTGCCAGGCCCAAGCCAGCGCTCCTGCTGGGGCAGGTACTGGCAACCTCCTGGCCCGTAAGAGCCTCACCAGTAAGCGCTCCTACACTACTTCTCTCACAGCAAAGGAGACCAGGAACTCAGATTTTCAGATGTCATTCATGTTAATCTCTGCAATATACACACAATTCCAGCCCATCCTGTGCCATGCAAAGACAAGACATCTTTCTCACTGCAAAAAAATCCATTTTTGTATCTGAAAGGAACAGATTATCTACCTTCCTCCTGCAGAGGAGGCAAAAAAACATCCCTACTGGCTGCTAGAGGGTGTCAGGACAGCGGAGATGCTGAGTTTAACACTACATAACAGGATAAACAGAGAAGGCAAGTTTGAGTACTATGTGCCATGCCTGCAGACAAACAAAAAAACCCACCCCAACAAAAAGCCCACACAGAACCCAAAAGCACACCAGTCCCGAACAAGACACACAACATACTGCAGAACGAAGCAGAATATCAAGTAATAGCTTTCTTGTGAGATGGGGATAAGCAGACATTAGAATCACTCACAAGTTTGTAGTTCATTAGGACTTAGAAGTATTTGTAATGTGTTAAACCATCATCACCTATTTTCTCTTCACAGCCAGTCACTTTTGGGTAAAAATAAATGGTTTTTTTCTGGTCCAGTTTTACAATGTGGAGGGTGAAGAGGAAGGTAGCAATACGAACACAAAATAAGCTCTATGCATAGGTTACAGACTTGCTTTTTGTACAATTTTCAGCAACATGTTTTTCCCCTTTTGCAAATATATGGGTAAATACTGTATCGATTGTTGTGGGAATTTTCTAAGGCAATGAACAAACAACATTGAAAAACAATCAGATATTGCGGCTACTGTACAGCTATGTGGATGAGAAAATGCTGAATGACCAAAGGACAGTAAATTCTCTTAATTCTGTGCAAATTCCAATAAAAACCCACGAAAAGTTCTGTTTTCTTGAGTTTAATTGGAGCTTTATTACTTAAGCTGTGACTTCACAGTCTTCACCTTCAGCAATTTGCAAAGAGGAGGCATACAAGAAAGGTTACAACACTTAATGGAAGGGACTCCCTACTGAACAAGGGGGAAGGGGCAATCCCAAGGCAGAAAAACTGGGAGCATCAATTTGTTCTCAAGTCTCATGTGAGGACTCCTGGAAAAGGCTGATTACTTGAAAGAAATCAAGGAAATAAATTTAGGAAGCAGAACCTGGGATTAAAGTGAGCTGGAACCAGAAAGAGACAAACACCAATGGCAAAATGCAAATAAACCAAGCAGAGTAAATCCAGACAGAACCCAAACAGTAACAGAGGCTGAATGAATAAATAAAGTCCCTAGGATTAAACCAGATTTATGCTGCCACTCAGCTTCTTCAACAGACATATAAAGCTGTAACTGATGGTGGCATGGTGGCTTCAGCCTCTGCTCCCCTGAAGCCACTGTCCAACCAGGTAGAAAAATAAAGGTCTAATTCACTGGAAATTCTTTCATTTACAAAACTAATGGAATAGGGTTTGTTTTTATGCTTCTGTGTCAACTTCCGATTTATCTTCAACTCCATTCTGCTCATCTTTCATTTCTGCATCCTCAGTGTGGCTGGTTTGAAGAGTAGCAGCTGACTAAACAGAGAGACAAAGAAAATATATTCCTTTGTTATACAAATTTGCTAGCATTTGCGAACAGTACCACAAACATTATTTGATTCTTATCACTTGGATACCTGGTCTCCCTGCAAGACTGAATTAAGATATCAGGACCTTCAGCCAAGAGAAACCAAAAATTTCTTTGCATTTTTTCTGCATCTAAGAAACAAAAAGCCATTTAGAGGAGGCTGAGAAATAATACTGGCATCAGATGGCTACGATTCATAACGTGGAGTGCAACACGCTTGGCACGTATAAGAAAGTGTTCTCCCACAAACTGAAATTCACTTAGGAAGCTTCTGCACAGAAATGCTTTTGTCCTACTTCAATTTCAATGAGATTCAATTTCAGCAATTCCCATACCCTGCCCCACCCCCAACTTGTACGAGGCACACTTGGACTCAAGATAGGAAGAAACATCTTTGTTGGACAACTGTCACTTGGATGTCCTCTGTAAGAGCTTAGCTGGAACAAAACCTAATCTGACAAGGTGGCTGCTCTAAAAGCCCCCTCCTTGCTGTATCTTCCAGGTGTGGAAGGCAGAGCGCCATGTGGTAAAAGTCCGAGGTCAGTTTTTACAATAGGACATAACCAGCACATCCTGACCTTAAAATAAATTTCAAACACAGTAAAGGGAAGTAGAAAGGTCTTGTCCTGCTCATCTCAAAAGACAGTGCAATGAAGTGGCTATTCCACCTGTCAGCTGAGCACCTTGAACCATCTGTTTTATTGTAAGGTTAGAGGAGAACCAAACAAGAACAAGGAAGGACATAAGCACGCACTGTTGGGGGAAGGAGGGGAATAAGAGGGGAAAAAGGGGCGGAATCCTTAAACTAAAATGTTCCATCAACTTAGCTGCAACAAGAAACCACAGCCAAAGAACATCCAGGCAAAGGTCAACCTTTCATCCTTAGAAGCATTCTGTGAAGCACGTGAGAGCAAAGTCTCCTCTGCACAGAAAATGTTAGCTAGCAATCCTGCGCTTAAGATACGGTGATAAACATCCTGACCTTTAAAAATTCACACTTTACATATGTGAACTATTTGAATTCATGAAAAGAACTACTGATGCAAGAGTGGCTGTCAAACTTCAACAGACCATAATATATGCAGATGCCCGGAGTTTCAGAACTATATAGTCCAAGCTGCTTTCTTAGCAATAAGACAACAGCTTGGTAAACAAACCCTCTTCTCCAGAACTCTTGAACTTCTCCCACCACCACTAACAGAGAAACTGTTGGAGCTCAAGTAAAGCAAGATGATAAATGAATTAACAGGAAAACATGTTTTCTCACAAGAAAAATCCCCAAGACTGACCTGGGGAGTAAGCGTCCTTTGTTTACAGTTCCATGTTCCATCGATCGCATTTCAATTAAAACCACATCAATTTGAAGTAGGCCAGACGGCTCCGAGAAAAAACAATGTAAACACATGCATATTCCCATAATCATCTATACTACTGAGAATAATGAACCAGGCCAACAGCATCCTGGCCTGTATCAGCAATAGTGTGGCCAGCAGGAGCAGGGAAGTGATCATCCCCCTGTACTCAGCACTGGTGAGGCTGCACCTCTAATATTGTGTTCAATTTTGGGCCCCTCACTACAAGAAAGACATTAAGGTACTGGAGCATGTCCAGAGAAGGACAACGAAGCTGGTGAAGGGTCTGGAGCACAAGTCTTATGAGGAGCATCCGAGGGAACTGGGGTTGTTTAGCCTGGAGAAAAGGAGGCTGAGGGGACACCTTATTGCTCTTTACAACTACCTGAAAGGGGGTTGTAGTGAGGTAGGTACTGGTCTCTTCTATTAAGTAAGTAGTGATAGGATGAGAGGAAATGGTGTCAAGTTGCAGAAGGGGAGGTTTAGGCTGGATATTAGGAAAAAATTTTCACCAAAAAGGTTGTCAAGCACTGGAACAGGCTACTCAAGGAAGGGGTTGAGTCACCATCCCTGGAGATATTTAAAAGACACGTAGACGTGGTGCTTAGGGACATGGTTTAGTGGTGGACTTGGCAATGTTAGGTTAACGGTTGGACTCGATGATCTTAAGGGTCTTTTCCAACCTAAATGACTCTGACTCTATCTGAAGTAGATTCTGATTCTATCCGAAGTAGATGGGAAAATTCGAACTAAGTGCCATGTCTTTGCAGTAACCCAAACAGTCTGCAATGCAAAGACTGTGAGTCTGCCTTTTGCCAAGGCTACAACTCTGCCAACTGTCTTAGGGGTTGAAGTGTACATTTTGAAAAGCACAAAGGCAGCCCTTTCGTACTTTTAGTGGATATAGCTTGTTTCAGCAATCCACTTTTCCTCTCTGAACAGCAGATCTTGCTGTGTCCCAGACCTAGCGCGGGAAGCCAGATTCCGAGCAGCTATGCTAGCTGAAAGGAACCTGCGGA